GTGTGTGTGTTGGGAATTGAACTTGGGTCCTCTGTAAGGATAGCAAGCTGGATTACTGCTGAGCCATCTCTCCAGCCCTACATTAAAAAAAAAGTTTGCCAGTTGTGGTGATGCATGCTTTTAATCCCAGCACTCAGGAGGCAGATGCAGGCAGATCTTTGTGAGTTTGAGTCTAACCTGGTCTACAGAGCAAGTTCCAGGACAGCCAGGGCTACACAGAGAAACCCTGTCTCAAAAAACAAAACAAAACAAAACAAAACAAACAAAAAAACCAAACAGAAAACGTTTATTTTGTGTGTGTGTGTATGTGTATGAGGGGGAGGAGAAGAGAGGAGACAGTGATAGAGATAGAATGAATAGGTGTGCATATTACAGAGTGTGTGGAGGTCAGAGCACAGTTTTTGGGAGTTGGTTCTCTTTTTACCTTGTTCAGGCAAGGTTTTGTTTGTTTCTCTTGCTGTGCTGTGTGCTAAAGGCTGTTTGGCCCATGAGCTGGCTCTGCCTCCTATCTCTTTGTAGGAGTGTTGGGGTTACAGATGCACACCACCATGTACAGCTTTTTATGTGGGTCCTAGGGATCAAATTTAGTTTGTCAGGCTTGCATAGCAAGCACTTTTACCCACTAAGCTATCTCCCCAGCCATCAGCCTGTTTATTATTTTATTTTATTTTTTGAGACAGAGTTGACTTTCTATTTACTATGTAATGAGAACTTAACTCATAATTCCTTTACCTCCAACTCCTAAGTACTGACAGGGATGTGCTGTCACACTTGGTTTTTGTGATGCTCGGGGTTGAACCCAGGGCTTTTGGTATGCTAGATAAACACTGTAGTTGTTCAGTCCATGAGGCTGGATGTCTCAGCTGTCTTCAGTATAGGCTGGAATCCCAAAGTAGGCTCTAATGCCAGACTTCCTAATGAGAGAGCAAGCAAGCAAGCAGGCAGGCAGGAAGAGAGAGAGAGAGAGGGGGGTGGGAGGGGGGGGAGGGGGGAAGGAGAGAGAGGAGAGGAGGGAAGAGGAGGAGGGAGGGGGGGAGAAAGAGGGAGAGGGAGGGGGAGGGGGAGGGGGAGGGAGAGGGGAGAGAGAGAGAGAGAGAGTTAGTTTCCTTCTTCCATGTCCTTATATAGGCTGCCAGCAGAAGGTGTGGTCCAGATTAAAGGTGGCTTATCCCACCCAAAAGATCTGGATTAAAGGTTTATCTTCCTACCTCAAAGATTCAGGTTAGAAGTGGGTCTTCCCACTTGAAATGATTTAATTTAGAATAATCCCTCACAGGTGTGCTCAGTCATTTTGGATTTAGTTAATTCCAGATTATAGTCAAGTTGACAACCAAGAATAGCCATCATAGTATGTGTCTCCATGCCCAGCCCTGTCTTTATATTTTTAAGAGCTAGATAGTAATGACATACATTACTATTTTGCCTTGGCTGTCCTTAAAATCTTGGACTCAGGGGATCTAGTTGCTTGCTTTAGATTTTTTTTTTTTTTTTTTTTTAAGTACTATAGGTGCATGCCACTTAAGCACCCCCCCCCCCCCCCCCCCCCCCCCCCCCCCCCCCATGTAGCCCAGTCTGGTCTTAAGTGTTAGTGTTGTCTTTTTATTTTGTTTTTTTTTTTGGGTTTTTTTTGTTTTTTTTTTTTTTTTTGTTTTTTCGAGACAGGGTTTCTCTGTGTAGCTTTGCACCTTTCCTGGAACTCGCTTTGGAGACCAGGCTGGCCTCGAACTCACAGAGATCCGCCTGGCTCTGCCTCCTGAGTGCTGGGATTAAAGGCATGCGCCACCACCGCCTGGCTAGTGTTGTCTTTTTACATTTCATACTCTGCTCTGCCAGCTCAAGGGCTGGCCTTAAGTCACTAGTACTGTGCCTGTGTGCACCTGCCATTGAGTGTTTGTGTGGTACTCACTACCTGAGGAAGGACAGTGAACAACCATTACCCAGTGAATAAACATGAGGACATGACTGCTCCTAGATATGGTTGAGGAGAAGGTTTTTATTGTAGATATGAGTGAGAATTCAACCAGAGACATCTGGAAAGGTACAGACAAAACATGGCCAGAATAGACTGGGCCATGAGAGAAGAGAGAAGACCGGGAAAGAGAGGAGAACTTAGAGTGGAGCCATGAGAGTGCTTGTGGAAGTGGCTGGGTTATATAGGAAAGGAAAACTGGGAGAAGGGAGGTGAAGCTCAGGGGCTGGAGAGGTTTAGGGTAGAAATGCTGAGAGGAGCCCAGGGAGCCTGGCTCTAATGTGGGCTATGATATGTTAATAGGTACCTCAGCTATCCATCCCAGGTTTCTGTGGGACCTAACACACAGCATCCTGCTCTGGAGTCTGTTCACACTGGAGTACAAGTAGGAAGGGAGGGTTCGAGCTATCCAAGGCTAGGTTCGGGCTGGTGTCAGGGCAGGCTGACTGAAGCTTCTCATGGCCCATGCCAGCTCCCAGCATGTATTCATTGGGGAAGGATTGGGCATTCTGAGATACCTGCCTTCTGCACTCCATATCCAGAAAGCTCAGTGGGTGTGTTTGTACTGGGGTGGGCATGACCACCTTACAAACGAGGGAAATATGGGTTAGAAAGACCAAGTAACTTCAGTGCTTAAGGTCCTTCCCCATTGCTAATACAGAGACCACAACCAGACAATGCCATTGAGTGGAACACTCATTCCTAATTGGGATGCTGTCATCAAATTCCCTACCCCCCCTTACCCCCAGGGCTCAGGGAACTGTGCAGAAGGGAAGGCTGAAAGATTGAAAGAGCCAGTGGACATGCAGAACATCAAGGAAACAGTGCTTTACAGACACAGCAGGACTGACATACATATGACCTCACAGAGACTGTGGCAGAGTGCACAGGGCCTGCACAGGTTCAAGCCTGATGGGGTCCAGGCGCTGAGAGGGGAACTGGATATGAGACCCCATTCTTTTTTTTTTTTTTTTTTTTTTTTTTTAAAAGATTTATTTATTTATTATGTATACAGCATGTATGACTGCAGGCCAGAAGAGGGCACCAGATCTCATTACAAGTGGTTGTGAGCCACCATGTGGTTGCTGGGAATTGAACTCAGGACCTCTGGAAGAGCAGTCAGTGCTCTTAACCTCTGAGCCATCTCTCCAGCCCCGAGACCCCATTCTTAACTCAGAACTTGTTTCCAGGTGACAACTGCTTGCAAAGGAAAAATCAATTTTCTCCAGTGGAGTCTCACTGGGTATAAGAACTACACTTAGGGCAATCCGCCTGCACAGTAGTAGATGGCCAACACAAAACAAACAGTGGTATTTTTGGAGATTTTGTCTCAAAATGCTTTGTTTGGGTATTTTGTAACCTTACAGGTCTTTTGCTTATGTATTATGGTTTCCGATTTTGTGTTCTATGTGTGTTATTGTGTGTGTACATGTGTTTTTCTTTTTTTTGTTTGTTTTGTTTGGTTTTATTGTTTTTATTTGCCAGCTTGTTTTATAAAGAGAGAGAGGGAAGGCATGAAGTTGGATGGGTGGGGGACGTGGAGAGATTCTGGGAGGAGATGAGAGAGAAAACTGCTCAGAATATATTGCATAGAAAAATTTATTTTCAATAAAAAAATTAAAACAACAACAAATAAACAAAAAGATCCTTCTCCAGTGTTCTTTGCAGACCCTCTCTAAGTGGAGTTTTTTTTCTTGCAGCTCAGCTGTGGCAGCCACTAAGAAGGCAGTGACGCCTGCTCCTCCAATAAAGAGGTGGGAGCTGTCCAAGGACCAGCCATACCTGTGACACAGCCCCAGGCTACTTTGCTGGATCCCCAGGGCCACCTGACTACTTTTCCTCCTTGGATTTCCTCTGGGGAGAGCATGACCTAATTTATAACAAATACATAGAACTCACATTACTTCTATTCTGTCTTGTATTTATTGATTTGATTTGATCTGTTATTATTGTCTTTGTAGGGTATATGAATACATGCTACAGTGTGTATGAAGGTGAGAGGACAACTTTGGGAATCGGTTTCCACCTTGCTAAGGCAAGGTCTTTTGATTTTGCCATGCTGTGTAATTCAGGCTAGCTGACCAAGAGTTTCTGGGTGATGCTGCTGTCTGTTCCTCCAATCCTGCTGTAGTAGTGATAGGATTACAGATTTGAGCCACTGCATGTCTTTTTTGAGTTCTGAGGATGGAACTCCAGTGTGATCCTTTTAAGCTCATACTTATACTTGTGAGCCATCTTGCCAGCCCACCCTTTTTCTTTTTTTAGTCTTGGTGGGTATTGTTGGTCTATGCCTATAGTCTTTGTACTTAGTAAGCTAGTAGGTGAATATCATTGCTGTCCTGTGGATCAGCTGTAACCCTTAAGTAGGTCTGTGGATCCTGAAGGTAGAACCATGGAATACGTGTGAATAAAACACTGAATTGAGTGTGGTGGTGCATGACTCTAACCTCAGTACTTAGGAGACTGAGGCAGGAGGATTGCCAGTTTGAGGCCAGCTTGGGTTATAGATTGAGAACCTATTTCAGACTAACAAACAGAACACTGCCACCACAAGAAAGGGTGCTGATAGAATGTTGGGACTGGAGCCCTTTGGAAACTGAGAGCAAGGGTGAGAAAGGTCACAATCCTGACCAGGTGTCAGTTCCCCAGAATGAGTTACAGATGCTACAGCTGCTGGCTTCATTGAGGATGTTGGACTTGGTTTGGGGAAAAGGACAAGCTACATTCAGAAAGAAGGTCAAAAGGGAAAGGAACAGTGGTCACTGTCAGAGGCCACTGGGAAGGCAACCAGAGGGCTCCTAGAGGCCCCAGGCAATATGTGGCATTGAAAATTTCTGTGTAATTTTAATGACGAAATTTTGTGCAGGAGTTGTGTGGGAAAGAGGTCTGGGTTCTTTCTGGGGCTAGAACTGTCTTGAATGACTTATATTCATTCCTGGACCAGGGGCAGTTCATACTGGTCTCTGTCTTTTTTTTTTTTTTTTTTTCCATTTTTTCAGGACAGTTTCTCTGTGTAGCCCTGGAACTCACTCTATAGACCAAACTGCACCCCCCCCCCTTCCCCAAAACAGGGTTTCTCTGTGTAGTTTTGGTGCCTGTCCTGGGCCTCGCTCTGTAGACCAGGCTGGCCTCTAACTCACAGAGATCTGCCTGGCTCTGCCTCCCAAGTGCTGGGATTAAAGGCGTACGCCACAACCGCCCGGTGTGGCATCATCTCTTCATCTGTGTTTTGGTTGGTCTTTGAGCAGCTCTGGGAGGTCATCTTGGAGAGACTAAGCACTCTCTTAGGCTCATTGAGAATTGGCTGTGAACTCTAGGCAATTCATAAGTACATTGCATTGCTCTTTGCAAATCCAGGGTCTGCCCAATACCCTAGATGATACCTCCACCAAGATCCTGATCCTCAAAAGCATGATGCTCCACTCCCTTTCCTGGGCTGTCCCATTTACCCTGTTTGCATCTCTCTGCATCTGAACACCATTGTATATTGTTTCTCTTTCTTCTGGAAATTGGTGAGACAGTACACACCAAAAGTAGTTATAACGTCCAACATTTTACAGTGGTGAGATACCATCCATCTGTAAGTAGAACCTTTGTGTGAAAGTCTGGACTTGAAGGCTACATTTTGGAAAAGTTGCCCACTGAGGGACAGTGACTTGTCCCCAGCCCTGCTGAGAGGTAGTGGCATAGATTCTGAAGGTAGAACTTCAGGAAACAATGTGAAGAAGAAAACACTAAACTGGGTGGTACATGACTGTATCCTCAATACTTAGGACTCCACAGCAGGATGATCAGTTTTGGGCCAGCTTGCGTTATATATTGAGAAACTATCTCAGACCAACAGAACACTACCACCACAAATCACTAGTCATACTGGATAGCAGAGTTAATGCACCCACTGTATACAAGTGGGATGAGAAAACCCAAAGGCCTCCAATCTGTATCTATCCCCGACTGCCCAAGGATGAGGATGTCAGAATAAAGTGTCTCTCAAGTCTGTGAGAACTAGAGGTAATGAGATTGGCATGGAATCCAAGTGGATGGGACAGCTCAGGTTGGAAGCCAGGAATTACCTTCATTCATTTGTTTATTCCATCATTCCTTCACGACATGTGCCAGACATCAAGGACACAACAGTCAGCAACCCAACATACTGACCCACCTGCAGCTGGCATTCTATTGGGTAATTAGACAATAAGGTGAAATAAAGTAAATGAATCATCAAATCTGTAGGTGGCACCAGAGAGGCTGGAGGAGGTGCCTGCTGGGGAGTGTTCACAGGGTGTGGCTGCCATGTTCATTGGGACCATTGGGCAGTTGTATTTGCAGTAGTTTGCATGTGAAGTTTAGGTCAAAATTGGTAAGTTCATTTATTGACCTGCAAGTTTACTATTTCAAGTTGATGAGGTTGTTATTTTCTTGGTCCTGGAGATTAAACCTAGAGCCTCCTGATTACTTAGGCAAGCACTCTACCTCAATTATTCCCCTGGTTCCTGACCTGTTTTGGGTGACTTTTATTCTGAGATAGGATCTCCTTAAATTGCTTAAGTTGGCCTTGTGATCCTCTTAAGAGGAAGAGTAGCTTCCTGTATAATAGCTGGGAGTACAGGCCCAGGGTTACCAACCCATCAGACTGCTGCTGGGAAAAAGCCTGGAAGAGACGTAAGTTCTTGGTTCCCTTGTATTCTGGTACTTACGGTCCAGGCTCGCAGGTGCCATTCCCACTGCCTTTATGTGCGCGTGCGCGAGAGTCAGAACGGCTTTCTCAGACTGCGTGTAGCCGCCGCGGCTGGAGCACAGTACGGCTAGCGGTTGGATGGCGCGGGGCGGAGCGGGGCGGGCAGCGGCCCTGGGCCTGGCGCTGCGGCTGCTGCTTTTGCTTGGACTAGGCGTAGAGGCTGCTCCGGCCCCGGCCCTGGCCCCAACCCAAGTCCAGGTCTCTGGTGAGTGACCCCCGTCCCTACACCGCTTTCGTCCCGCCCCGGCGCGCTGGCATCGCCTCACTATTGGCTGTATCGCCCATCAGTCTCAGACACTCCTCCAGCACGCGGGTTTGGATTTAGCGTGGGTAGAGCCAGCCCTGATATATCTGCTGCAGGGACCTCCACGTGGGTGTCTGCTGTCTTCTGCTGCCCGTGCCCAGCTGCCTCCTTCTCCCCGCTCTGTCCCCATGTCACCTCCAAGTCGTCCTTCAGCCCAGCGTGGGCTGGAAGACTTACGTTTCTGATTTTGTTTGACCTCTTACCATGCAGGGCTGGTCACCTGGCACCTTCCTGCAGCAGGTATGCCTTCGTGAAACCGTCGGCCCTGAGCCTGAAGTTCTGTGGCTGTTCTTTGAGAATCCAGAGTTTTTCTTTCTCTTTAAATTCCTGCCTCACATAACGGAAGAAAGCCCTGGAATGTATTTCACAAATGGAGTGTATTTCACTTGGTAAACCCCAGACGTCAGGCAACTGCCCTGGGCAGGAACAGGATGTTCATTCCATATAGGACCGTCCACTCTATAGAAAAATAGGCCTTACTGCTTTGAGTGTTTTTTTTTTTTTTTTCCCCCTTAGGTTTTTTATTATGTTTTGAGTTTTTTTTGAGACAGGGTATCACATTGTAGCCCCGACTGACCTGGACTTGCCATGTAGACCAGGCTGGGCTTTAACTTTAGAGATCAGCTTGGCTTTGCCTCCAGAATGCTGGGATTAAAGTCAGGCACTGGCTCTTATTTTTGAGACAGGGTGTCACTGTGTAACATAGGCTAGACTGCAGCTTGTGCCTCCTGCCTTAGTCTCCCCAGCACAAGGGTTATTGGGCCACTTCATCTGATAAGAGTTGTATGGGTCTGTAAAGTACCACCCCTCCTCCCACTTTTGGCTAGTCTGTAGCTACAAGTATTCCTCTTGTCCCAGCTTCCCAAGAGCAGGGGTTACAGATGAGCATCATTATGCCTGGCTTTAGTATTCCTCCTTTACAGATGAGGAAACAGGCTAGGAGGAGAAATCATGCATCGTCCTGACTCGTGTCTGATAAATTGCCTCGTGAGGCAGGGTCCGCCCTGCTCTGGGCCCACTCAAAGGAAATCCAGACAGTCAGGGGGAGGTCAGGATTGTGAGTTGTTAGGTATGGAGAGGAGGCTATGCCTGAGGCAGGAAAGGAAGGTGACCAGGGTTTATTCCCCAGTTCTCCAACTCCACAGAGTGTGTGGTATACAAGTGTAATTGCATTTGACTGCACGGAGAGGGAGGGTGGGGTCTTGGAAGCTCTGGCCCTGTGTGTGAGGTGGGAAGCTCTAAAGCCCACCCCCTTCCTTCCTGCTGGTTCAAGTACCAGGTTCCTTCACTGCCTGCCCCTCTAGATCAACAAACAGCCCTAGCCTCCCTGTTCAGAGTCCAGGAAAGGCTTATATTTCATTTGGACCCAATGTGGACCCTTATATGACCTCTTGTCCACGCTGTCAGGCACTGACCTGGGCAGGATCAGAGGCCATGTCAATAGGAAGATGGATGTTAGTAGTTAGGGGCTGTTATTTGTGGGAAGCAGAGCTTCCTGGCGTTCATGAGACACTGCCCCAGGTGTAAGTTGAGATGTGAAGGCTGCAGAAGAATCTCAGATGTAGAGTGGAAGGATCAGGTGGGGAGTAGCTGGGGTATAGCTGAGTGGTAGAATGTTTGCCTAGCATGCAAAAGGGTCTAGATATTCTCCCACTCTCCCCAGAATACAGAGTGGTAGAAGGTGAGGGAAGGGCCTTTAGGCTGAGGGAGGCACATGCATAGGCCCTGTGGTGAAAATGAGCCAGGTCTCTTAGATGAACTGAGGAGGAGGCCAGGGTAGAGGGAGAGGGAGTGTGTTGAAGAAGGAAGGGATTTAGATTTGGTTGTGGGAGGGCCTGGGTGCCAGGGGATAGTGGGTGATAAAAGTGGGTACTTGAGAGGACTCTGATGCTCTGTCCTGGTGGAGATGAAGTACTGGGGGTCTAGTTAAGAGGTGACACATTTAGGTCATATAGAGTATTTTAACATGTGAAGAACTTAGGAGATGAGACAACAGGGCTTGATGACTAGGTGTGTTGTCTTGTTTCAAGGCAGGGTTTTCCTGTGTAGCCCTTTCTGGCCTACAACTCAGGATCCTCTTGAGTGCTGAGATTACAGGCATACACTACCATACCTAGCTTTTGAACAGGTGTTGTACCCAGGCTTTCAGTCTCCCCTTTGCTAAGCAGGTGGGTTAGAACAGGTCCCACTGACCTTGATCCTGAGCCTCTTGCAGAGCATGTTGGGGAACAGCTCCTCCCTCAGCCTGTTTAACCATGAACTTGGAGGTCTTCTGTGTAGACTGTCCATTTAGAGCCTAGTAGAGTCTCAAGAGTCAGTGAGACCTGGATTTGAGTCTCGATTTGTCACCAGCTCTGTATGGTCATAGAGTTTCAATAGACTGTAGCACTGTCTACCTAGCAGCATGCATGAACTTCTGGGGCCCAAACAACACATACACAGTACTCTGCAGAGGATGACTGCCAGTGTAGTTTCTGCACCCTGGGACATGGCTTGTCTCCAACAGATTGCAGCTCATAACCATTGTCTTGGAGTATGTTATAGATTTGGACACCCCCTGCCCCAGGCCTCATTTATCTTTATCTCTCAGGCCCCCGAGCTGGCTCGTGCCCGACAGACAACTTCCAGTGTATTACCAATGGCTACTGTGTGCCCGTCTCCTGGCGCTGTGATGGGGACCCAGACTGCTCTGATAGCAGTGATGAGGAGGAGTGTAGTAAGTGGCCATCCCTGGAGAGGGATTTCAGAATGGAAGTTTGGACTGGTGCCAGTTACGGGGGTGGGATTATGGCTGTGGTTATAGGGCTGGGTGAGTGGCAATGGCAAAGTAGGACAAGGTGGAGTCGATGGGACTAAGCTGTTGGGCTTGCCTTTAATCCCAGCACTCTGGAGGAGGCAGACGCAGGTAGGTGTCTTGAAGTTTGAGGCCAATTGTTGTACAGAGAGTTCCAGGCCAGCCAGAGCTACATAGTAAGACCTTGTCTAAAATCAAAAATAAAATCAAAACCAAAAAGTTGGAATCTAAGGCAGGTGGGTAGGGAGGTTGAGCAAATTAGAGAGGGAACTGTGGGAAGACTAGATGTCGGAAGGTGAGATTGACAAGAGCAACAGGTAGAAACTTTACATAGGGTAAGCCTTTATACACAGAGTCAGCTGTTTTTTATTTTATTTAGTGTGTGTCTGTTTGGGTACATGTGTGTGCAGGTTTATTTGCCAGCATGTTGTGTGTGCATGGAAGCCAGAGGTTGACACTGGGTGTCTTACTCTGTTGCTCTTCACCTTACTTTTTGAGATCATCTTTCACTAAAATTGGGGTTTCCAGTTTCAGCTAGACTGGCTGGCCCAAGATCCCCTAGGATCCACCTGTTTCTCTGCACTCTTAGCATTGTGATGAGGTATGCGAGCTGCTGTACCTGGCATTTACATGGGTACTGGGGATCAAACTCAGTCCACATGCTTGTTCAGCAAGTATCTACCTGTTGAGTTATCTACTTAGCCCTGGGGAAACTTTTTTTCAAATTTTATTTTATATATCCCTGGCTGGCCTGAAACTCTTTATGTAGATTAGGCTAGCCTCAAAGTCACAGAGATCCACCTGCTCTGCCTCCCAAGTGCTGGGATTAAAGTAGTGAGATACCACTCCCAGTTCAGTTAGTTGCTTTTAGAAGCTAAGATTTAGAGGGAATTGGGCAGCTGATGAAGTACTGGGCTTTTTTTTTCTTTTTTTTCTTTTTTGTGACAGGGTTTCCCTACATAGCCCTGGTTCTCCTAGAACTCACTGTGTAGACTAGACTAGCCTCAGACTCAGAGATCCACCCTCCTCTGCCTCCTGAGTTCTGGGATTAAAGGTGTGTGCCATCATGCCCATAATACTGGGCTTTCTTGTATGGATGTTTGGAACCTGATTGACTGTATGTTTCAGGGATTGAGCCATGTGCTCAGAAAGGGCAGTGCCAACCACTGGCTACCCTTCCTTGCTCCTGTGACAACATCAGTGGTTGCCCTGCTGGCTCTGACAAGAACCTTCTCAACTGCAGCCGCCAGCCCTGTCAGGAGGGTGAGCTGCGTTGCATGTTGGGCGATGTCTGTATCCCACACACATGGCACTGTGATGGCCACCCAGACTGTCCCGACTCCAGTGATGAGCTCAGCTGTGGTACGTGCCCTGGGATCTTGGTATACCTGTGTGGGTGGGGAGGGCTGGCAGTTACTGAAGGACATTTGTTATCTTCCCATGTGTGACTAGATTGAGGATGTGAACACATGCATATTCCCAGGCCTTCATCTCCGTGGTAGAGGATAAGACATCATCAGGAATAGTGATTTCCCACCAGCTCTACTCAATCTTAGATCAGGATGAGTTCTAAGAGTTGGCACCTGGAACCCTTATGCACCCCACTGCTAAGCCTGTCTACTGATGCCTGGGCTTATTGCAGACACCAACATAGAAACTGACAAGATCTTCCAGGAGGAGAATGCCACAACTACAAGGACTCCTATGACCCTGGAGAATGAGACCTCTCTCAGGAATGCAACAGTTGCCTCTGCTGGGAACCCTTCGCGAAACCCAAATGCCTATGGGGTTATTGCAGCTGCTGGTAAGATAGGCCTTCCCTTGTGAGGAGCTTGGGGTGATTGGAGGGGACATACAGTAGACTGCCTACATATTAGTGTTGATAGCTTCTACCCTCCTTGCCCCACTCCTCTGACCATCTGTCTGTCCCCCACAGGGGTGTTGAGTGCCATCCTGGTTTCTGCCACCCTCCTCATATTGTTACGACTCCGAGGTCAGGGTTACCTGCCCCGACCTGGGCTGTTGGTGGCTGTGAAGGAGTCTCTGCTGCTGTCAGAAAGGAAAACCTCACTGATCTGAGGATACGTGGTCACCACCTGGCCCTGAGTGCAGTCAGACCGGGGCAAAGCCACAGTGGGACATGCAGGCAGCTGCTGGCTTCTCGAGACCTGGGCTCTTGGCCATAGAGAACTTTTATTTTAAGCTTCTACAGATGTGGTCCTAGAGACTAGGGGTCCTCAGATATTCCCCTTGTATGTGGGGAGCTTGGATGGAGAACTGCCATAGCCAGGACTGAGGGGCCGGCCCCAGGTTGCTCCCAAGAAATGGGGCCACCCTGGCTTAGACACTCCTGCTGCTCATATTGATGGGTGGTGATTAAAGTTTCTTTACCTCCTCTGCTTGCCTCTAGCCTCTGTTTCCCTTGGCCTGGGCAGCCTGGGGTCTCTTCTGGATCCCCTTTCACCTTCTAAGGGAGCCTTCAGCCAAGAGAACATGGGATGGTGTTCTGGACATGTCCTCCGATACTCCGCCTTCTGCAGAAAGTCAGGTTGGGTGTTGAGTCCACCTGTGTTAACAGTGGGCTTAACAGAAGAGGAGGAGAGCTGAGGTGGTGTCTCCTCATTTGAGAGTCATCTGTCATGGCTTCTTCTTCTGTGACATGGAAGCTGGGCAATCCTGATATGAACTTGGCTATTCCCTGTTGTTGCAAGGCCATAATCACAGCACTTGGGAAGGCGAGGTAGGAGAATTAGAAGTAATAGGCTTGATGGTACATACCTGTAATCCTAGCTACTGGGAAGGTTAAGATGTGAAGATCTGGAGTTCAAGGAATGTCCGGGCTATTCAGGGCGACCTTGTTTTCTCTCTTCCCCAGTTGTAGTTGGTTGATGTTTTGTGAAATAGTTTTGTTCTAGGCTAGCAGGTTGTTTACTGTCTAGCGTTGAGTTAGCCCTGGGAGGGAGGGGCTGTCCCGAGGTGATAACCGAGGTCCCAGATACCTGAGCATGAATAATACAGAAAACAAGAAAATGCAGTTAATGTACAACTTGACTTCTGAATAACAAGGCAAAGCTCTTCTCAGACTCTTAGCCCATAAATTCGTAAGTAAAATGGTGGGGACTGTTGGAGTCCCCTCAACTGGGAGAGGAGATAGCTCTCGGCATCTTTGGTGGCGCCTATTAACCTGGGGTCTCATGATGAGTATCGGAATTCTGAGGCTGTGCAAGCAAGAGGACCTGAGTTCAGATCCCCAATACCCATGTAGAAAGCTGGATTTGCCTGTAATCTTTTTGCTGAGGGTGGGTATGAAGACAGGAGGATGCCAGAGACTTGCTGGCCAGATAGTCTAGCCTGAGAGCTTGAGATTCAGTCAGAAATCTTGTCTCAAAAATAAGGAGGGACTGGGGATATGTTTCAGTGTTTAAAGCACTTGTTGCACAAGCATGGAAACATAGTTTGGATCCCCAAAACCCATGTAAATGTGGGGTGGGTTTGTTGGCCTGCCTATAATTTTAGCCTTGAGGCAGGGACAGGATCCCCAGAGCAAGCTAGCTAGTGAGATCCTGTCTCATTGAATATGATGGAAGAATAATCCAGGATGATTCCTGTCATCAATGTCAGGTGTCCACATACACATGCATGCATAGACATACATGTGGACTCTTTAATATGAGCCCACACACAGGCATACATGCACACTCCCCCATACACTCACATTTTTTTTTTTTTTTGTTTTTTTTGGTTTTTTTTCGAGACAGGGTTTCTCTGTGTAGCTTTGCGCCTTTCCTGGAACTCGCTTTGGAGACCAGGCTGGCCTCGAACTCACAGAGATCCGCCTGGCTCTGCCTCCCCAGTGCTGGGATTAAAGGCGTGCGCCACCACCGCCTGGCAACACTCACATTTTTTAACCTTGGGCTTCAATATACATGTATATACATATATACTTGCACATATGCTCCTGCACATGCAACTATACACATACTCTCTTGAGCTCTCCCCACCCCAACAAATCTCAACAAAAGGAATTTATGGAGCTCTGATGCCTGGTTCCTGGTAGACAGTGATTGGCTACTGATAAAGATGCTGAATGCAAAGGGAAGGAATGTGCACCAGGAGGGCTTCCTGAAGGTGGGAACTGCTTTGGCTCTGGAACCCTGCTCTCCCAGTCCCTTACAGGGGAAGGTGGATGAAGCAGAATCTGGATTTGGGCAGTGTGTTGGGGCTGGGTTTTTGAAATAGCAGTTGATGCTTCAGCCGGAATGGGGATGCATTAACTGATGGTAGAGCCTCTTGGAGGTAGGTAGGGAACAAGGCATTCCTTGGCCCTTTAGGCTGACACTTGGATCCCCAGTTTGACCAACAAAATGTTGCAGAGAGCCACAGCAGGCCATTTCCAACTGGGAGAAAAGCACTTCTGTAACTTCAGCTTTTAGATAGGAATATTTTGAGTTGCAGGCTAGCTCGGACCACATAGTGAGATTCTATCTATCATCCATCTGTCTGTCTATCTCTATCTATCTGAAATTAGGAAGATGATTTTTGGTTTTAGGCTAGTTAAGGGAGAAAGGTGGTCCTTTTACTTTTAGCTATGTACTGCACCTGTCAGTCACAGGCCACAGTTGGTCAGGATAGTGTTGGGTCCATGCTGGGCTATAAATTCACGTTACCTGTGCAGACATTTGAGATCTGGAGTTATTGGAGTATTTGGGTTCTCATTGGAGCAAACTACTTGATACTTGGTGGTTCCAAACAACTTGCTGTGTATGATGCTCATATATTTCATTTGAACAGAATGTCACTCTGTAGTAGAGGCTAGCCTCAAACTCTGACTGATCTGGCTCAGTTTTCCCAATATTGGGGTTATTGCTATGTTCCACCACATCTGGCCTGCCATGGTGTTCTGTCAGTGTGGTTCTGCAGTGTGTGGTTGTCCCAGGTAGTTCAGCTACCCTCTGGGGTTAGGGCTGGCTTTGTATCAACATGTGTGGATATCTTTTGTCTGTATGTGAGAGTTGGGCTCCTTCATGTGCCTACTGGATTTAAGTGGCTGTTAAGGCATTGGGAGTCCTAAGGTGTAAAGCAGAGAGGTTGCCCAGTTAGGATCTCTCACTTGGAAATAGGGTCTCATGTAACTCATGATGGTCTTGAACTCCTCATATAGCTGAAGATGACTGAACTCTTGTTTCTGCTTGCCTTCCTCTCCCCAGTGCTAGGATTATAAGTATGTACTACCATGCCTGGCTTTTGTGGAGTGCTAGGGATGGAACTCAAGGCTTTGTGTATGCCAGGTGTCTGCCTACAGCCAGGTGTAGTTGTTCTTTTTTGTAATCCCAAGTATTACAAGTGGTGAGATTACAAGAGTGAGTTGAGGCAGGGGGATTACCTCAGGTTCCAATACAGATTACACTTTGTTTATGTAGACACTTTACTGAGCTACGTCCCTCGTCACATCTTTTTTCTCCTTTACCCTTACTGTTTTACTTAGGGGAAAGGGTGGCCCTACTTTGGCAAACAGGAAGGATTCCTAGGCAACTGGAGTGCCATTCCTACCCCAGTCATGGACTTGGACATGGGGTAAGGACCTTTAGGGATGCTATGTAGCCCATGTAGAGACTGATGTTGTTTGTGTGGGCATATGGTCAGTGAAGGCTCAATACATTCTAAGTGGTATCAAGGTAGCCAGGAAGGGGTATGCCAGGGCCTTGTGTGGGAAGATGGGGAGGGCAGGAAGGGCTTTTGAGTATCCTTGTCCAATTCTGACCATTTTTTCCTTCTGTTTGTCGAAGAGGAAAATTCACATAACTTAAAATTAACTATTAACTATCTCAAAGCTCACAGTCCAGTGGCATTTGACATATTTACAATGTTGAGTGTTCTCGTTCTGAGAGACTTACATCATCTCAAAGAAACTCCAATTCCATGGGACTTGGTGGTACACTCCTGCAGTCCCAGCACTGGGGAAGATGAGGCTGGATAATCACAAGTTTGTGTTTAGCCTGGGCTATATACACCCTGTCTCCTCAACAACAGCCACCACTACCAAAATGTAAGTTAAGAAATCCTGTTCCCGCCGGGCGATGGTGGCGCACACCTGTAATCCCAGCACTCGGGAGGCATAGGCAGGTGGATCTCTGTGAGTTGGAGGCCAGCCTGGTCTACAGAGCTAGTCCAGAACAGGCTCCAAAGCTACAGAGAAACCCTGTCTCGAAAAATCCACCAAAAAAAAAAAAAAAAAAAAAAAAAAATCCTGTTCCCATTAGCATTTACTCTCCCCATTCCTCCTTCCCTCCCCACAGCAACAGCTAATCACTTTCTGACCCTATGGGTCTCCCTGATCTGGAGTTTTCACACAAATAGATGCACAAGTCACCCCCCACCCCCATGTGTTTCTCTGCATATGCATTTTTTGTATTTATTTGTGTAGTTTGTGTGTGGGAATGTGTTTGCTTGCATGCCATAGTGGCTGTGTGGAGATCAAAGGACAACTTGCAAGAATTGGTTCTCCTTTTTTACTATTTGGATCCCAAGAGTCAAATTCAGGTTGCCAGGCTTGGAGGCAAGCACCTTTACCTGAGGAAACATATTTCTGGATCTTTTTTTTGGGCAGGATTTTATATGATAGGGTGGCTTTGAATCACTGTTTTCTTGAGAGTTACTTAAACTCCTGATCCCTCTTGCTTCTGTCTCCTGAATGCTAGGATTAAAGGCATGCAGAACCACACCTGAAGTGATTTTTTTTTTCTTTTTCTTTAGATGTAGTCACACACTATTGACAAGTGGTTTGGATTCACTGTAATCTGTGCTTGGAACCTGGAGTAGTCCTGCCTCAGCTTCCCAAATGCTGGGAGTAGATGAGTGAGGGGCCACACGTCACTGTATATTTGATATTTGTGGTTGGCCTTTTTGTGAACACAGTGTTTTCCAAGGTCATTGAGCTGCAGTGTGTGCCACTGCTTTGTTCCGTTTTATAGCTCAGCAATAACCCATTGTATAGGCTAATGACCTCTTGTTTATTCATTTTTCAGTTGCTAGGCAGTAGGGCTATTTCCATTGGCTGTGTTCATTTTTATAGGTAGCAGAAATTAAGCTACATGGACCACATAATATCTGAGCTGAGATTTATATATCTGTATCTAGATCTCTTTTGATTCAGGGTATCGTTCCATCATGCCTGTGTGGACCTAGAATTCACTGTTTAGCCTATGCTGGTCCTGAACTTTCAACAGTCTTCTTTACCTTCTCAAGTTCTGGTATTCTATGTATGTCACGAGTTTTAGCTAGTTTGTGTGTTTGATGGATGTTTGTGCATGTATGTGTGGAGGCCAGAGGACAACTTTGGGCGTGGTGTCATTCCTCAGGTGCATTCCACCTTATATTTGAGATAGAGGCCTGAGTTTCTGGAATTACAAGTGTGCTATCATGCCTGGCTTTTTTTTATGTGAGTTCTGGGGATGGAACTCAGGTCTACAGGCTTATAAAGTAAATACTTGCAACTGAGCCATCTTCCAGCCCTTCTTTAGAAACATGTGTATTTGTGTTTTGTCTGCATGTGTATCTGTGTAACATATGTATGACTGGTGCTCATGGAGGCCAGAGGATGGCAACAGATCTCTTGGGACAGGAGTTGCAAATGGTTATGAGCTACCACATAGGTAATAGGAATCAAACTTGGATCTTTTGGAAGAGCAGCTAGTGCTCTTAACTTCTGAGCCCTCCCTCCAGCTCCAGGCCTTTTTATTTGACTGAGTCTTTTGCTACAACCTGCACCGGCCTGGAACTTGTGATCCGCCTGCCTCAGCCTCCTAAGTGAAAGGATTTCAGGCATTTGCTATCTCACCCAGCTCTAAACTAGGGTTTGAAACTGAGTAGTCCACTCATGGCAATCTGGATAACTGTACCCCTGTGAGACTGGGTGGAGCCCTCAAAACCCACAGTACACACGGCTAAGCCCACAACCCTTATGTCTCAGGTAGTGGCCAGGTTGAGACAGGATGTCCTTCTGACCTTGTTGATGCAAAGTCTTATAGCAGAATATAACCTTGAACTCCTGATCCTTCTGTCTCTATTTGTCCAGTGCTGAGATTGCAGGGTACACCACCACACTTGGTTTATATGGTGCTGGGGATGGAGCTCAGGACTTTGTGCATTTTTGGGCAAATGCTCTACTAACAGAGCTACACCTTAGCTTGCTTTGCTTAGTTTCAAAATTTTAATTTATTTTTTGGTTTAATAATTTAAATTAGCATAGTTTCATTATGACATTTCAAACAAAATTTGTTTCTTTTCACCTCTCTTTTCTCATTGTCCTAAGCCCACTTATCCTCACAGCCATCTTTCTGATGTCATGTCACAGGTGGCCTGTTGCCCTCCCCAATGCCTCAATGCTTCTTTCTCCCTGTTGTGATCTCTTTTCTAGTTTCATAGCTTCTGTGCACATTAAGCCTCACTAATGTGCACATGTGTAAGTTTGGTTTTATGCATGAGACAGGTGAATTTTGTTTTTCTGAGTTTGAGTTACTTTGCTTAATTTTGTCTAGAGCAGTGAGTTCTCCTACACATTTCATGATTTCCTTTTTCTTTACAGCTGAGAAAAATACATTGTGTATTTTATATTGCTAATTTATTTTTCTATTATTTATTTATTTGTTTATTTTCTTTTTTGATGCAGGGTTTCACTATATAGCCCTGGTTGTCATGGAACTTGCTATGTAGACCAGAGTGGCCTTGAACTCAACAGAGATCTGCTTGCTTCAGCTAGAATTAAAGGCTTTTGCCACCATACTCCACCTAATTTTTATTGTCCTTTCCTTTGCTGATGGACATCTACACTGGTTCCATTTCCTTATGGTTGTGAATCATGTCACTTTGTTAAGTTTTTGGTTTTTTTTTTTTTTTTTGGTTTTTCGAGACAGGGTTTCTCTGTGTAGCTTTGCGCCTTTCCTGGGACTCACTTGGTAGCCCAGGCTGGCCTCGAACTCACAGAGATCCACCTGCCTCTGCCTCCCGAGTGCTGGGATTAAAGGCGTGCGCCGCCGCCACCGCCGCCGCCGCCGCCGCCGCCGCCACCACCACCACCACCACCACCGCCCGGCAAGTTTTTTTTTTTTCTTCTTTGAGATAGGGTTTCTCTGTGTAGCTTTGGTGCCTTTCCTGGAACTCATTCTGTAGCCCAGGCTGGCCTCGAACTCACAGAGATCCACCTGCCTCTGCCTCCTGAGTGCTGGGATTAAAGGCATGTGCTACCACCGCCTGGCAGTTTGTTAAGTTTTAAGCATGACTTATATTGTACTGTTGAAATTCAAATGTGAGGGCTGGAAGTTGAATCTTCACATTTGGGTGCTGGTGGCAACCATCTAGAAGAGAATTGTTTTTCCTTGCCAGACAAGATGGTGGAAGCTGGAGGAGAAGGCTTAGTTTTGCTTGGATAGAAGGACATCCTTGAAACTGTTGGATATATTGCTTTGTTTTAAATGTGAATTTAACCTCAAAGTATAGATATCCAGCAGCATATGAATGGATAAAAAAGAGGGGGTATGCATATGCAATGGAATTTTATTCATGTGTAAAGAACAATGGAATTATGAGAATTTCTGCAACTGCCACTAAAAGTCCAACTAGCATGACCCATAGTTGAGGAATAATTGGTTTCCATAGTAGCAGGAGGATAGTTACCCTACCCCACTTAAGAACACAGTGGAATACAGCAAGACAAAGCTAGATGGCACTCTTTCCCCTTGTCTGACTCTTTTAGGGTGTCAGTTGCCTTTTGGTTCAGTTTGTCCACTTGGCCTATTTGGCCACCCCTCCCCACCAGCTTTATGCATTTGTTGATTTAATCCTTTTCACCTGTTTCTGATAAGATTTTTCAGCTTTGTGCTTTTTTTTTTTATTGTAGAATAGACATATACATAAGTATCATGCAGTAATGTACTATATAGAGACATTGTTTTCAGTGTGTGACTGCGTAGGTATGGGATAACATAAGTGTAATGAGGCTGAGGATGTGGCTCAGTTGATAGAGTGCTTGCCTAGTATGCTGAAAGCTCTGGATTCAGTTCTCAGCACTTCATAAAAGTGATCTCTGTCTCAGGGAATAGTTGCAGTCTTGGAGGGTCCAAAATATATTTTTTAAAAAATTAAATAGACTGATGAATATTAACTCCTCATTTATAATTTTTTAAGCTGCATCTTGAGCTTGAAAAAAAAACCCCTAATTTCTCTGTTTAAACAGTTCTATTTTTAACACAAAACAGTTTGTGAATCACCACAGTTAATAGAGTCTATATCTGTAGGTAATGTCAAAGTTGTCCCATTGTAATGGAAGCATTCCTGTCCACCTCATTTCTTAAGTATGAAAAATTCAAAAAATGAATTCTGGTACCAGTCTTCCAAATATGAAGAAACCTATAACCAAACACTTTTTGCAGTTAACAATTCTAGTTCAAACAAGCATCTCTGAAACTTTTGTTCTCAATCACAGAGGCACTTTCAGTTACAGGAGGATTTTATGGCAGTCTTTCCCTAGGGACCTTACCCCAGGACTAAGTAACTGCCACAGTAATTGAGCAGCTACA